ATGTCCATTTTTTAAGAGAGATGCTTTTTTTCTAGAATTTGCAAATGAAATTTTTATACGGCTATCATATATTTTGTTTAGCTTTGGTCTTTTTGTAAAGCAATTTTTCAATTCTCCTATTTATTCTTGAATGTACAAAATACGAGATAAGTATTTATATTCTTGACGTGAGTTTCAGGAAACAAAAATATGACACAGTTACTACATATAAAAATTCAATTTCCCACGAGAAGTATATCTTCCCCGGACAGTATTTCGAAAACAGAAACATGGGCCTGTCATCCCTATTTTATTCTCGAAGCTAAACGTATAGAAGACTCGTGTCTTTTGACACTCGCCCTCATATATCTGCTTTGTTTTATATATTGCGTCGGTGATTTGACAAGATTACGAGTTTATTTTCGAGCCAAGCACCGACGTTCGTCATCCGAAATTCCAATATTTCTCCCGCTCGTTCGACAAAGGTGACGGCAATTTCAGCCAAACGAAACGGTGCACGGAAACGATCGGAGAGAGATAGAGAGGGGGAGAGGGAGAGAGAAAGCACCGACGTTCGTCATCCGAAATTCCAATATTTCTCCCGCTCGTTCGACAAAGGTGACGGCAATTTCAGCCAAACGAAACGGTGCACGGAAACGATCGGAGAGAGATAGAGAGGGGGAGAGGGAGAGAGAGAGAGAGAGAGAGAGAAAGAGATTTACCGATGTATCGCGCGCGTGGACACAAAGGCCAGGAGAATATATCTCCACGCCTGGCGGGACTATATCGTCTATAAAATACACGCCGCCCAGTCTAGACAAGCTTAAGCGGCGAATGACAGTTTTACGTCGGCGTTTGTCGGTGATGCGAGCGAAGGCGAGAAAGGAGTTTCGCGGACATATGACTCTCTCGCGTATCAAATAGCGAGGACACGTTCGATTTTACGACACACGGTTGTTATCCGATGTACGATTACGAGCCGAATGACATTGACAGCGCGTTCGCGGTACTCCCGGTCGTCTCGTCGAGCGAAAACGGTAATTGAAAATTATGGCGGGCAACATTCTTGGCACAAGTGACACGACCGATATGACGTCGTAAGATCGCTACTACGAGGAGTAGAGCGCGATATTCGCCGACGCGCGCGGATGTGTTTACGGATCATCGGACCTGTCCCTCTTTTTCTTCCGATATCCCAGTGTAGCAACAGTTTTTACCCTTTCCCTTGAATTTTCAAAACTCTCTTGTTCTTGAAAATATTATATATAGTATTGTTTTATTTTAATAAAGATTAAATTCGTGTGTGTAATAACTCATATTCTTAAAAAAATCTAGCATGATCTCAGAAGGAATATTTCGTAAACTCCAAAATATTACGACTCTCTCGTTAAGAATCACTGCTTTACGCGCTTCTCGCACGTCTTTTCGTAAGTGCCTTTTTGATTTTTACGAGCTACGAGCATGTTGCAGAATATCTCAAGATAAGATATATGGGAAAATACCCTGAGATATTTAAGAAATAATTTGTCGCATAAAATAAGCGATAAGAGATTTTATTTGAAAATTATATGATCACATAAAGTAGACAATGACTATATAATTTGTTATGAATTTTTGCAATATCTGTCTATGTTTAATTAATAAATTATATCTTTCGAGAAGTAAGAGATAAATTTTGGACAGAGAGTCGAAGATGAATATGAGGAGAGCTGGGTCAGTCGAGATCTGTAAAGTGTAAAGCACCTTGTCGTTTCCAGAACTAGATCACACGCGTAAGAGGGAACTCCAAAGATGGGCTCTTCACTTTTGTCCGTTTCTCTATCGCGGCTGGAATATAACGGGTGGTCCGGGTGAGAAAGGCGAGTGCCGGTGGCGGAGGTGGCGAATTTATGGGCCGCTCCGAGATTATTCCGAGACTTACGCGCCGAGGAAAAGTGCATCGCGCTAAACAAATTTATGGCACGCCCGAGATTATGGTCGACGAGAAGTAGCTGGAGAGCTCCCCGGCGAGTTTCCCGAATCGAAATTCTCTTCTCGTCCTTTCGTGCCGTCGTCTCCCTTTTCCCTCGAACGGAGCGGCGCCGTACGCTTTTACGGAAGCGTCGATCGCGGCTGGATACCTTTTCAATTTATTTTCTTTTCGTTAAAAGTTCTCCTCGCCCCTCCCCGCATAAATATATAGAACCTAATATGAGACAGGATTTTCTGCCGTGAAACACGCTGCAGTTGTACTTGAGAAAGGCGTCTTATACAAGAGTTTGGGGGGTTACAAATGTAAAAAAAAATTATATATTTCCTTCAGATCTGATATATAGATCTTTCTTAAAGTGGTTAAAAAAACCTATAATGCTATAGTATAAAACTATAATAAAATATAATATAATCTTTCACGATCATGTGCCATATTCGAGGCGATGACTCATAATGTCAGCTATTATCGATAACAGTAATGTAAATCAGAGAGCACAACCATGTGTGTGCACCAATCATAATTAAATTTCATGATGATTGATCGCTCATGTGGGGGCGAAGCTTAACGTCGACAGAGACTCGTGCGGGAAAACCAATTTTTATAAACGTTATTCATCATCATCATTGCGAATAATTCGCGAAATATGATTAAATCGATGTCTTGCAAAGCATCCGGGAAAAATGCGATGTATTATAAGAGTTTAATAAGAAGCAAAGCTGACGCGAATGAAAAGCGAAAAAATGAAGCACGTGCAATAAGGCAAGCGTGATTTTATGAATCGGGAAACCGGCTTCAACCTATACGATCCAATGGCGTGGGATTTTTTCCAACATTAAACTCTCTCGCGTTCAATAATTGTAATTAATGTCGTATGATGAATCAAAAGCAGACACAGACGGTTATATCAGGTTCACTCGCGATGATCGATAAAAACATCGCGTAATGAACTTCATGAGCTAATGTCATGATTGATTGCAAACGGATGTTGCATTCTGTAGCAGCAATAACGTTCACGTTACGTGATGTGTTTTCCTGTACACTTGTTGAGCACAGATTCTGATTGATTTGCGAGTGACAAAAATTTATTTCATAGCTTCCAAGGCCTGTCATTGTAAATCTGGAAGCAACAAGCATTTTTATCGCGCGCGAACCACTGGTAAATAAATAAGCGTCCTATCCTAAATAATTACTTTCGAGCTTTTTAGCAAATTGCAAACGATATTGAAGACCAGAAGCGTGGAATTTTAATATTTTCATGCAAGGAGGAAAAAACTTCATCTATATGATTGCGAGTGTTTTTGCTTCTTAATATGCGCAAAGTGTTATGCTCGAAGGCATTCTCTCATAATCGCTCTCGCACGAAGAAATAAATATAATATTGCTATGATAAGAATCGGGAAGTTTTAAAAAAACATTCAACATCAAACTAAGAGATTTTCGGATCGTAATCTATGTTATCGTAATATTATATAATAATATAATTATATAATAATATTTACGGAATCAATTTTGCGTTCTCAACATGCTGATGTAGCAATATAAAATAAATTTATTATATTTTAAATGGCAAAAGAAAAAATAATACAAATTTAGATCAGTATCGATTATGAGATACCCTTCATAATATCTAATAAAGTGTAATAATAAAAAAAGTATTTTTTAGTTTCTATTAAAAATAACGCATATCGATGAGAAAAGCTAAAACGTTCGTGTCGTACATCGCAAAGTTTCTCTGACATCGTTCGTGACAAATTTTCACGATGACTTTTTTTTCGTTTCATCCGACTAAAACGTGCGAGAATTGGACGCGCGCTGTTTTCAAAATTGCTAAACGCGAGCAAAGTTGTCGCGCGCGACACCGAACTCGCAATTCGAGTTCGAGGGCTCGTTAAAATCCATCGAACTGTGAGAAAAGAACACATTGCCCTTCTCCCCTAACTCTCTCCGTAGTTTCCGAAACTCTCGTGACGACTCGTATCTTACGCCGTTCCAAGACACTCTTCGTGCCCCGTCCGGCAGCTCGTGTATTATGTCGCCGTGTGCACGTCGAAATAATATAAAATTAAATAATAGCATTTTTTACAATTAACATCAATTAATTTGGAAAAAAAGTAATTTCAACAAGTAAATAATTGCACTGCAATGACATTAAATACGTTCATATTTCTTTATGTCATAAATTCTAAAAAAGTGTATGCTCTCGCGTGAATGAATTATAAATATTACTCTACATTTTACATTACTACTATGTAACGTACACGTATCTGAAAATCGACGTCACTAAAACTAACAACTCTGATCAAACCCGCTTCATTCTGTCTAATAATGATTACGAAAACTCAAAATTGCTAAACGCGAGCAAAGTTGTCGCGCGCGACACCGAACTCGCAATTCGAGTTCGAGGGCTCGTTAAAATCCATCGAACTGTGAGAAAAGAACACATTGCCCTTCTCCCCTAACTCTCTCCGTAGTTTCCGAAACTCTCGTGACGACTCGTATCTTACGCCGTTCCAAGACACTCTTCGTGCCCCGTCCGGCAGCTCGTGTATTATGTCGCCGTGTGCACGTCGAAATAATATAAAATTAAATAATAGCATTTTTTACAATTAACATCAATTAATTTGGAAAAAAAGTAATTTCAACAAGTAAATAATTGCACTGCAATGACATTAAATACGTTCATATTTCTTTATGTCATAAATTCTAAAAAAGTGTATACACATACATAATGTACACGTATCTGAAAATTGACGTCACTAAAACTAACAACTCTGATCAAACCCGCTTCATTCTGTCTAATAATGATTACGAAAACGATCCTTGAGGCAAGCGCCTAACAGTGTATCGATAGCGCTTAGAGTTGGAATGGGTGTCGGAGAGGAAACGTATTCCGCTGTTGCGGATATCTAGAATTAACTGCTCGTTGTCTGAGTAGTTTGCCCCGACGTGTTATTACGAGGTTGCCGAAAGCTGACGTCCGGGAGGAGGAGGATGAAGAGAAGCCCCCGCGAACGCGCGGTTAATGGTAAAGTCTCTCGGTTGGACTCACCGTTTGTGCTGAATCCTGAGGCCTCTTCGGGGGTGCAGCGGTACACCGTCCTTCAACCAGTGCACTCTCGGGGGCGGCGAGCCCCTCGTCCTGCATACTAGCTTCACTCTCTCCCGTAACCTCGCTATCGAGTCCCTGAGTTCGGACAACGTAACTTCTCGCACTGAAATCAAAAGTTAGAATCTCGTTAACGCCATGTTGCACGTGTTGTTCGTTCAATATATCAGGCAGTTATTACTTAATTAACTCGCGCAATATTTGGGCTAATATATTTTTAGAATTTTTATCGTGCTCTGGATATGAGACATTTGTACGGCAATTAATATATTTTACATTCATCAAAGCTTTAAGATTAAGGAGATTTATAATTATTAAGTCAATTTCGTATGCAAATGATACAGAAATCCTTGAACGATTTTTTTCGATTTGGTTTACACCAAGATTTTACGTAAACGTAAGGTAAAAAAAAAATTAATCCGTGCGCTTGAAGCTCTTCGAACGCGGAAGACGCGATGCTCGAGGTTCGTGTTCGCGAACGAAATGGAAAAATAACGAATACGCGTTTTTAGGCAGATCGTATACTGCAGAAGGAACTCTTCCTTTCGACAACCGGATACGGCTATGCGTCCGGTTTTGGCAAAGGCTGCCGTGTCGCATTTCGGCCAAAGGCCGAACGGCATATCGATAGCTTGGCTATCGAGTATCAATTCACTGTTTTGTTACTCCAGAATGCGGGTGTAAAAACGATCCGCAGGGAGACCCACACTCGTGCACGGTATTGCTATGTACAAATATACGGGAATTTACGTTACAGACAGACGCACACAACATCCTTACCTGACATCAAACAGATTATATACAAGAACAAATGCAAATATTCGTGTTACTAGAATATTCGTATTTATTAGAATCATAAATAATGGGAAAATCCATATGTGATATCGGCTAATAATTTCACGAACATTTGATATGACAGAAACATGTATTATTCATGACATTTGATTTATAGACAAATGTCATCTACTTACAATCTTTTATAGCTTTTGCGTGTTATCGATAAAATAAAGGTTGACAAGACAAAGTTAGTTGTGCGATTGATCGTCAAGTAATGATCATTTTTATAACAAAATTTCAAATTAAAATTCAGTCACATCTAGTTTCACTTGAAATTAAATAAAGAGCAAAGTTATGTTATTTAATCGCATTTCTCCGTTTGAAGTTTAAATTATAAATTATTGCTATATCTCTATACTTTTGTTAAGAAAAATTATACCTTGTACACACAACACACATATTTCCAAATGAATAAAAGCGAGGAAGGACTTCTCATGACATTTCGTATATGTACTCTCATATAATTTTTTTTTTTCAATATAAAATATGACCACGTGAAACAAAATGATAGTTGGATATCGGATATAAATGAAGAGGAAGATTTGCGTTAATAAAAATGAAGGGCGATATCCCGTTCCATTTTCCCCCTCTCGAGATCGCGTGATTTTCAAAGGCACGATATAGAATTTCTGGTGAAAATGCAACGTTCAATGAGCTCTCGTCTATTATATTCATGTCGCATGACAGGGAATGATAATAAGGCGCCGTTAGCAAAGATTTCTTTGTCAGAGTCTGTGTGGCGCGGGACGTCGCCGTCGTCGTTTGATTTATTATGTTTTCACGTGCATACGGCAATCCCATTCGCCGCAAATACATTTTTTCCGTGTCGCGTGTAAATAAAACTGATGTCGTTTCGCAGATGCGTTTGAGAAATTGAACGGAGATAAAGCACAACGTTTTTTTGACCAAGGCTGACCGCTTTACCCCTCGCATCGTTCATCCCGCCGTAAACGTTAATCGATCAAGGGATAATTAAAGAAACGAATCACACGAATCAATAGCGCGATACGAAAACACCTTGAAGGGGTTTACCTCGCATGTCGTGAACACACGTAAAAGCAAGTTTCAAACCGCTCGAGTTCCTGCCAAGTCAAACGTACGGTCGTTGACTAAGTAGAGAGAACAACATAGTGTTGATCTTCTGTAACAATTTATTTACAACAAACACAGATGCCAGTTCCCTAAAATACTGCTGCTTAAACGCATCGAGCTAAAATAGCTATTATCTCGAGAAGTTCAAGTTGCACGCTTCCCTCTTCTTCTCCCTTTTGTTCTCGTTATACGGATATTTGTCTTAAATTCATCGTGGCGCTTCGTCGCAGCTGTAATCGATAGCGCTCTCGATTTGCATAACAGATTCTTCACTTAATTGGAACACGACACGCCTACAATTCCTTTGATTTAACTCATCGGAGGAGAACGAGAAATATCTTTGTGCTGAAAACGTCATTAGTATCAGAAACGTAATCGATCTCGAGTGATAAATAATAGTGTAGTTATATCACCATGCAATTTATATTTATGTACTTCAGTAATAATATAAGGTAATATAACACGCTCTTTTTAAATGCGAGAGCATGATATTCTCATATTTTATATTACATTATATTAAAATTGTTATATTAAAATAGTTAATTAAGACAGTCTCGTCATATTTAATTATGCTCTCCGAGTCTCGATAGATTACGACGCGTCTGACATGTGTAAAATTTGAGTAAATGTGCATGAAGCAGAAACATCATTTATTCGTAAATGTCTTTCTCTCTCTTCTCTCTTTCTCTCTCGCTTAATAATTGAACACTTTACAAATACTATTTGCACGACGAACATACTACGCCGCGACTGAAAACCATGCGGGTTAATTGCGTCATGGTGAAGTTTATCGAAAACACGGCCCGATCTGATTATCTTTGACGCCGCACGGAAAACGCCTACAGCGTTTAATATGTCGCTCGACATATGAAATACACAGAGAGTGTTATGGGACGCGGGTTTTGCGAATAGAGTCAGCTCTTTCGGAGTTTCGTTCAAAATTTATTAGCGTCGCGACGCAAGATATCATCTTTATAGCTCATTTTTTTGATAGATCACAAAAAGTAATATAAAATATTTTTTTTGACAAATAAAATTGTTACCGAATATTAAATTATTAAAGCTTACCGTTTATGTAAATGTTTATAAATGTTTGCCGAAAAGAGAAATTTATTATTTTAGGATTTTTTTCTATTCTGCTCTACAGAATAGAGAATAATTATGAATTTTCGTTATCTTTATTAAACAAATAAATTCTCAGATTAGCAGTACAGAGAAAGACGACGAACCATGAAAAATGCGGCGAAGGTGTAACGTGAACGAATGTGGGACTCGCGCGGATATTTTTCAGGCGTAGCTGCAGTGAATTCGATCGGCGCAGAGTCAGACGGTGCACAGTCTGCCGACAGTTGTCAATGTCCCTTAGCGGCAAACCGTGTTATCGAATCCTAGTTCAAAGACATAGATTTCCCTGCCGCTTTTTATTCGTGTGCCGTCGAATAGGCGCTTTCTCCCTTTGTGAAGTAATGTTGGCGCGGTTATGAGATAGAAGGGAAAGAACGGTACGGGTAAAGGGAACATTGCCAATAAACTTGATTATTGAAAGAATATTTTATCAGCATAATGCTATTGATGCTTGAAATTAAATGAAATTATAATATCGTTTTATTATTCTCTTTAATCCTCATCGCTGATCCACATTTGCAGCTATTATTTTTTTTTTTTTTTATATCCGATATTTAATTTCAATCTGTCACATGTTTAAGTTTGCTACCTTTTTAATATGCCGTTGCAAAATTAAATTCCACTATAGAATATTTGATCTTGGGCGATGTGGGATTAATGTATTTCATAAAGTATAATATATAAGTGATGATATGTGACAGTATTATGTGTCTATGGATATGGATAATAAATTATAATAATATTTTATAGAAAGATGTGTATAATGTGCATATAAATTTTAAAAATCTCTATCATACATTGCGTCTCGCAATTCTGTATTTTACTTTAATTAACTATAATGGTCCATTTATTTTCTGTGGACATTTTTCCCCCGTGTTGATTTCAACCAGACTCTTATAAATATGTCTTTTAATTCGGTTTTGATCAAATCAAAAGAGTAGATTTAAATTTATCGTATCAAAAAAATTTGGAGATTTATATCACTTTCAAAAGAAACGCTTCGCGCAATTTTGGATGCTTAGCGATGTAGAGTCAACAGAAAAAAATGGATTGTGCAACGAGAGCGATGCGGAAAAAGCGCCGTAATGCACTTATTTTCGCGCCGATGCGTATTATCAGCCGCGAACGATAAACGGGCGATCGCGGCGAAATTTGTATAATGCTCCTCTTCTCGCTAACACTTGCCGTATTTTTGCGCGCGCGGTATTAAACTGGATTAAGTTGCGCGACAGTGTTCGCTCCATTCTGTCCAGGCCGGAAGTGCTTTTGCGCGTCTCTCGATGAAAGCGGGGCGGAAACTGGTCGGTCGGTTGCGGCCGGCGCGGTATCTGAAATTCACTTCGGAGGGAATAGGATTTCATGTCTGATTCTCGGCTCTCTATTCGTTATCAACCGTCTACCTATCCACGACACGCGCACACGTACAATGCCAATTCTTTTCCGCATCGAATAATCTATGCACACAATCAATGATAGAAGAATAAATAAAACAGAAATAATTTTAATACTTGTAATATAATAAATGATAAATAATATGGGATGGAAAACAAATTTCTTGATAATATTGGGGATATTTATAGAACTAAAAATGATAAGTATAAAAACTGTAAGGTATAAAAAATGTAATATTATATATTTGAAATAACGAAATTTATAAAATATTATTGCCACACTTTGTCACAATGGATTATAAAATAACAAATATAATAAAACAACAATAAAAAATCGAATAATATGAATTTATATACGACCGGATGGAGAGACGAAGAACAGAGTCACGAACGATATATACAGAGAAACGAAAAACGGGCGATGAAGAGAAGCGGAAAGGATATCCATACTATTCCCATGACGATCACGGGATGTACGAAACGTCATTTAACGATTAACGGATCGATCCAATGCCGAAATTCGAATTTAAACGGTGGACTCGATTGGAATGGAATTCAGGACTGTGGGAGGATTTATGCTGAAAATTCTCGGCCTAAAGACCAGGCGGACTAACGGAAAAAAAGGGATGATGGAGCGTCAGGTACAGAGCGATGGTATAAT